TTACAGCACCTTGTATTCCCAAGTGGTCACCCATCTAGGTACTGACTAAGCTTGATGTTGCTTAACTTTCGTGAGCATTCGGCAACTGGTACTTCAACATGATATGGTCACTGCCTGACTTAGGTATTATATTCTTATATCCTCTAAGACAATGTTCAATCCCTGGGCCAGACATTGGAACCATTTCGTCTGATTAAGTGGGACAAACATAACTGTTATCACAGCAAAGAATTAAGAAGAAAAAAAAAATAACTGATACGAGTTATTTCCCTTACCATGGACAGCGGAGTAAGAACAATATATCTTCGTGGATTAAATAAAGAGTTCGGTTCAAAATGATCAGAATGTTATCGGATATAGCAGAGTCCTGAAGAAAACAGGAGTCTGCAGTTACCGAAACATTTTCATGGACACTAGTTCGAATAAGTTAGTTTATAATAGTGATAATTTAAAATCTCAGAAATTTAAAGAAAATAATATACTAAAGGCTGGTCTTGCCCATGGATGAATAAAAAATAATATACACTCAACAAAAACAATACAAACTATTTCTCCTTTGACCTCATCGAAATCATCCGATTAAATTGTATCGGATACCCCAACTGCATTCCCTGCAGAGAGGTAAGACTGGATCGATTCTTGCAGACTGAGGTATGAGCGAAGTTTGTCTATGTTCTCAAATAAAAACACGACCAATGATTACCGATGGACTAAAGTATCAACAGGATCAATGTTTACCTATAGACTCAAGTATAAACCCGATCAATATTTGTATCTGGAAACATTAAGATGAATTTCAATCTGCAAAATTATTCTCGGGAAGATATTTAAAACGTACCAAGTTCCTTTCATACATTAAATTGATCATTACCTGCTTATGCCGATGCGTATACCGACACCACATATAAGTTTTCTACATACCTTTTCTCATATTTATCAGAAAATCAAAATTTAGGCATTTGATATTTTTATATCCACCTTTTGTACTGTAAATTCCCCTAAAAGAAGTTTAAATGCAAAATTTCAGCTCTTTTCAGGGATTTGGGTTCTGCACACCAAAGCAGGGTTTCTAGACATCTTTTAATTAGAAATGTGTCAACATATGTTTTAATCTTTCCCTTTAACTACGGCGGAATAATGGATAGCGGCTCTGATTGAGGAATCGGAGAGCCGAGTTCAAATTCCAGTCGAATCCATTACGTGCTAATGGAAAAGGTATGAACCCTCTTCTTCTCCCCCTCTCCAGCTATGGGTAAACAGCATCTTTCAGTCATGTATCGAAAGATATATGATCGCATAAGCTTGTATCACGCATGGCACATAACTGACTTAACTACAAATAAAACCCAACAAATTACACAGCATTTATTTCGATTAACTTTGTTACTTAAAACGATTACTTCACTACTTATGTAAATGTAAAAACAAATAGTTGGCAATAATATGAATTACAGATGGCTATAAAAACCATTTGTGATTATTTACGGCTAATTTGTTTAAATAATGCGCTGACTATTACTTACATCCCGTCACAATATTTGTAAGCAAAATGATGCACTTAAATCAGTCACCGAAAGCCCTTTAGATCAATGCCGGCATTCCACAGGGTCCTCTCCTCGGTTTTAGCAACTTTGTATTGTATATCATTGATTTGCTTAAGATCATTAGTGAGTATCTATGCGGATGATACAACAATTTAAAGGTGGAATTCTCGAAATCTGGAAGGCCTAGTAGCTCATCTCTCTTCTGACTAAACTCAATTGGATCAGTGGCGGAAAAGACTAGCTTGTAAAATTCAATGCGATCAAAATTAAACTCGTAACATTCCACTACCACCGAGCAGACCCTGAACATTCAACCATCATGATTGGTGGGTGTTCTCTTAACGACGCTCCTAGCTTTGAACGTCGTCTGGGACTAAAGCTTACCCGATATCTCAAGTGGAATGCCTTTATATATCCGATCTATTGCCAAAGATGTTGGAAAGACGGTTGGTTCATTGTACAGCTCCAGTACGATGCTGGAAAGACGGTTGGTTCATTGTACAGCTCCAGTACGATGCTGGAAAGACGATTGGTTCATTGTACAGCTCCAGTAATATGCTGGAAAGACGGTTGGTTCATTGTACAGCTCCAGTAATATGCTGGAAAGACGGTTGGCTCATTGTACAGCTCCAGTACGATGCTGGAAAGACGGTTGGTTCATTGTACAGCTCCAGTAATATGCTGGAAAGACGGTTGGTTCATTGTACAGCTCCAGTACGATGCTGGAAAGACGGTTGGTTCATTGTACAGCTCCAGTACGATGCTGGAAAGACGGTTGGTTCATTGTACAGCTCCAGTACGATGCTGGAAAGACGGTTGGTTCATTGTACAGCTCCAGTACGATGCTGGAAAGACGGTTGGTTCATTGTACAGCTCCAGTACGATGCTGGAAAGACGGTTGGTTCATTGTACAGCTCCAGTAATATGCTGGAAAGACGGTTGGTTCATTGTACAGCTCCAGTACGATGCTGGAAAGACGGTTGGTTCATTGTACATCTCCAGTACGATGCTGGAAAGACGGTTGGTTCATTGTACAGCTCGAGTACGATGCTGGAAAGACGGTTGGTTCAGTGTACAGCTCCAGTACGATGCTGGAAAGACGGTTGGTTCATTGTACAGCTCATGTAAAATGCTGGAAAGACGGTTGGTTCATTGTACAGCTCCAGTACGATGCTGGAAAGACGGTTGGTTCATTGTACAGCTCGAGCAATATGCTGGAAAGACGGTTGGTTCATTGTACAGCTCCAGTACGATGCTGGAAAGACGGTTGGTTCATTGTACAGCTCCAGTCCGATGCTGGAAAGACGGTTGGTTCATTGTACAGCTCCAGTACGATGCTGGAAAGACGGTTGGTTCATTGTACAGCTCCAGTAATATGCTGGAAAGACGGTTGGTTCATTGTACAGCTCCAGTACGATGCTGGAAAGACGGTTGGTTCATTGTACAGCTCCAGTAATATGCTGCAAAGACGGTCGGTTCATTGTACAGCTCGAGTACGATGCTGGAAAGATGGTTGGTTCATTGTACAGCTCCAGTACGATGCTGGAAAGACGGTTGGTTCATTGTACAGCTCCAGTACGATGCTGGAAAGACGGTTGGTTCATTGTACAGCTCCAGTACGATGCTGGAAAGACGGTTGGTTCATTGTACAGCTCCAGTAATATGCTGGAAAGACGGTGGGATCATTGTACAGCTCCAGTACGATGTGGGAAGGCGGTTGGTTCATTGTACAGCTCCAGTAATATGCTGGAAAGACGGTTGGTTCATTGTACAGCTCCAGTACGATGCTGGAAAGACGGTTGGCTCATTGTACAGCTCCAGTACGATGCTGGAAAGACGGTTGGTTCATTGTACAGCTCCAGTAATATGCTGGAAAGACGGTTGGTTCATTGTACAGCTCCAGTACGATGCTGGAAAGACGGTTGGTTCATTGTACAGCTCAAGTACGATGCTGGAAAGACGGTTGGTTCATTGTACAGCTCCAGTACGATGCTGGAAGGACGGTTGGTTCATTGTACAGCTCCAGTACGATGTAGTATTGCTGTCATATCTGGATTGAAGCTGCTCAGCCCTCTTGCCTGCCTCGATAGAGTTAAAATGCATCTACGTGGTCTTGTGGATGATGAATTATTTTCAACCCTACAACTGCTTTCTCACAGATGAAACATTGCGAACCTCTCGTTGCTATGTCGCTATTTCCATGGGCTGGGCACATCTAAATAATATATATAATTTTCCTCAGTTGCGACTCTGTCCTTTGACGGAGTCGCCTCTGAGTGCATTCTGCCCAAAGACAGAGACACAATTGAGAGATGATAAATAGATGTGTTACAAACTCCTCCAAGGAGGGGTTTACACACTGCTTGACTTGTACTATTATTAATTTATTTGTGGGTTTACTGTGTTTAGATTGACGAAAAGATTTCGGGAAAACTGACACACTGCAATCTTCAGAAAATAACCTATGCTAGGATGAAATTAATTTTGGCTTCGATTTGGTACAAAGTCACAACTAATAAACAGTCAGTGAGGGCGAACTCATTACACAGAAGTAACGGCCAACCAAACTAGCCTCGTTAACCACTACTTTACTCCAAAGTGATTATCTATTTGAAAGAGAGTTATCAGGCTTACTTTAGTTTGACAAAAGAACACATGCTTTGTAATAGTAATGGTTATATTAGCCGTTTCATTGACTGAGCAGCCAGTACTGTTTTCAGTTGAAATTTATGAAATCTTTTGCTTGAAACTCTTTTTTCAGCAAAATAGGTATCTCAAGCTGTTATCGCACTTACCTTACTGACCTTTATATTTGAAGTAGTGAGAAATGTCAGCATCTTGATTATGTCATTATTTTCTTTTCGAGTTACATGTGCTATCCATTTTAGTTGTTACTGCTGTTGACAGTCCTTAAGTGATGTGGTTTCTGTTATTTGGTACAGTTCTTTCTTTGGAATTCTGCAGAGCCATTCCTCAATGTTCCCAAGAGGATGGTCTTTGCCAAGACCCTCAAGATTTACTAGGTCAAAGACATTTTTAACTATTGATCATAAAAAGCAGTTGTATACAGCTAACAGTTTAGATATTTCTGACCGGGTTTGGCGCCATATGAAAGACTCGATTTGATGAGGCTATTTAAGAACATGACTCGAGTTTTCAGGTTGATGTTTTAGTTTTGTAGCAATTTGCAGTGTTGGGCGAAACTACCTCAGGCACAGCCTAGTCTATGCTCATTTTCCTTTTCTTCTACACTAAATTTGTTATAATTGATTCATAGGCTCGAACTCACTGCTAATGTTCAACCCAAGAGTCTCACTAATAATTAAATCACGCCGAGGTGCCTGCCTGCTTAAAAGATCATGCTTAGCTTTAATACAACTCCATAAGTATAAAACACCCAGTGAGGATCGAAATCACTATTCAGTAGTAATTAAACTCATTAACCATTACCCTTGTGTCGAGTTAGGCTGGTTGATTTTACACGTTAACCCTTGTGTTATTTAATGTGGTATTATGCATGGGACACCAAGCGAGGTTCGAAATCACTTCTCAGTAGTAATAGTCAACC